ACGTTTTGTGATGATTTGAGCGATGCATTTTGATAGGAATTTGAGATTACTTCTCATTGTTTTATAATTTCAACACTGATTACCATGGGATAAGAAATTTGCTGTTAATTTTCTGTAAACCATGAGTACGACAATGATGTTTTATTTTGCTGCCCTAGAAAAGTTTTGCATATTTATGCCTATGATGTCATCACACTCATTAGTACATTGCGAATATAAACCTTAATATGAAAACTTTTTACCATTCAAATATTCACTTTATTTAAGTAGACTCCTCAAGTTGGAGTATCTTTTCCTTAACAAAAATTTAACATGAATTTATTTTATTGAAATTTATCTTTTTCAGACTAATGACAGGAAACCTCCAAGGAATTGGAAAACTAAAAATGAGTTTGGTTCTGGAGATGGTGGAGATGGATGCAAGTTGTTTTTGGTGGTCACCTTTTCTCAATTTGTTATTTGTTTGTATGAGTTTATAATTGTTTCTTTGTTTCTTTAATTTTTAATTTGTTTGTGTGATATATGCCTTTATTTTATACATACTGAGATTTTCTTATCACATTTCCCTGTGTGAAAAACAAGTTCGCGACGTTTTTTTAGCCAATCAGAAAAGCGAAACGATTTGTCACACGTGAAAAAAGCGTTTCGTCCAATCGCAAACCACTGTCGAAGCTAATCATGTTTTCGCGGTCATCGCGGGGAGATAAACTAAACAAACAGTTAGGATCGCAGTTAGGATCGCAGTCAGGATCGCAGTTAGGATCCAAGTTTGGATCCCGATCGGAATCGCAATTTGGATAGCTTATTTCATAAAAAATTTGAACATTTTAAATTTAATTTTCAAATTACACTCAAAAGGACCTCAAACTTTACACTACATTATCTACGGGATTTGCGATCAGATTATTAAACAATTGCAATGTAGAGATAGACAAACTCCCCAGAAAGCAAACCGCTAAGGAATTTACCGGGCAAATGAATTTAAAGTCGAGAGATTTTGATTTATTGTGAGCGAATAACCAAGTCATTACTGTAAATGTTTTTTTACCTTAAAATAATGGCGGGATTCAATGACCGCGCAGGTTACATTTGATGAATCAGTATTACTGATTCATCAAATGTAAAAATAAATTAATAAACAAACTGGGACTAAACGAACGACGACCTAACAACCAAACTGTATTTTTATTTTGAACGGCATCAAGTCTTACATGGTATCATTTAAACTCCCAAGCTTAGGTTATGGTATCGGAAGTAACAAACTGCGGTAATTTAAAGTGGTAAATGTAAAGTTAACGGTATGATATCAAGATTCCTATATATCATCATTGATATTTCTAAGTTAATGGTACAACATCGGGATTCAATATACAATACATAATGTTAACGGTATGGTATCACGAGCCTTGTGGTTCATCAATCATTGACATTTCTAAGTCAACGATACAATATCGGAATTTATAACTATAAAATAACGTATAATGTTAAAGCGCCTTATGGTTCAGGCTTATGATTCCTAAGTCGTTAACGGTGTTATGGGTTCAAACTACCAAGTTAAAGGTGCGGTATAAGAAGTCCTTTTGCACAAAATCTAGCTGCAGTGTTGGGTCCAGTCTCAAAAGGGCAGGGCTGAAGTAGGGATGTCGATTAAGGAGGCATCTCTGCTCACAGTGATAGTATCTGTTTGTCTCTCTTCCAATCATTTGCTGGCCACTCTTTTCCGGGTAAAAATATTTTTCTTCATGTCGTACCACTAGTCCAATAAAGAGAGGACCATTGACATCCATGAACTGGAAGGGGCAGCCTGCACATTTTTTAACACGACTGTTTATGGCAACAATCATGAATGGATTATTATTGTGCCACGGAATTTTTTGAGGGTGTACGAAAGGTCGCATCACAGGTTTAGATTACAGAACGTTCCCTGCGTACATTGGGTATGCCGTACCATGTGCTGCTCCGGTTACCGTTGAAGATCTCTGTTCATTGGAATGAGTAAAAGGAAAGCCAGCAGCATAGGTTGAACCTACTTCAGTTTTCCTGACAAAAGTAGAAGGATTATTATCGTGTCCACTAAAAGGGTTCAAACAAACGACCCTTGGTTGATACGTTGCCCATCTAATCAAGAGCTAGGAGATATTTGTGAGGATGGCTGAACAATTAAGAAGATTTGTGTCTCTAGACAAACCTATACACAAGTTTATCGAAGATCAAAAAAAAAAAAAACAAACAAAAACAAAAACAGAAACACTCTGTCAAAACACGAAGAGATGTAAGTTTGCTGAATGAGTTTCTCAACTCCAAAAATGAAAGGAGAAGAGTCGAGAAAATCCCGCCAGAAGAGCTTAATGGGTATATGCAGCAGGTCCATTCAGTGGAGCAGTTTTTCAATGAGGACACTTTGACATGACAATAAAAACTTTAAACAAGTCGCCGACTTTCACCGATAACTCATTCAAATCAACAGAGTCAACACATAGCTTCATGACGCATCAAGCGTGTGTTTGAATCGTCGAGACGAAGACAGCCCTCCGCTTTGACAAACTAAGTTTATAAGACTTCATTGACCACTGATTTTGGTTGCTTATTTCGTTATTTTCTAAAGAACAGTTTCATATTTGGTTTAGAATTTAAAAGTTTTGCTATTTACTTTGTACCAGATATGTTTTTTGATTTAGCTTTTCGGAGGAGAATTTTAAAATACAGCAGTTTTGTATTTTTTTTTAGAGAACCCATTAAAGGTGAATAAATAAAAACAACAAAATCTCAGTATGTATAAAATAAATAAATTACAGCATGGAAAGCGCTTTGTGCGGGATTTTCCCACTCGTTGGTTTTGTATCTGAAATCGAACGAGTGAGATTTCAGTACTTCACCAACTCGTGCGAAAATCCCGTACGCGCGCGCTTTCCATGAAGTAATCTCTATGTATTTCAGTTTGTTTGTTTATTTAGTTTTTCGCCTGCTTTAGACTATTATCTAATAACATTATTACCATGTCGTGTTGCTTTGTTTTTGAAAATTTTCTTTTGTAGATAATAATTAAAAGCGATCAAACAAAATGGACCATATAATTCTTCTGGATATATTAGGAACACCGTCACACAAGACATATTGCAGCCGTATTGGATTTAAATCGGTGTTGTTGTGAGAAGTATAGGATAAACAGAATATGTTTGATGCGATTTGTGTTTTTACTGACTATCTTTTAGTGTGTGTGTTTTCAGATCAAATCCATGTCCATGATATTTATCAACAGAAAGTCAGGTAATGTTATTTGATTATTTTACCCTATTTGAATCAATACTCTTATGATCTAATTATATTCATAAAACATAATCTACCTATAAGTTTAATAATTATCTATTTTATTATTTTAGAAATTCAAGAAAAATCAAGGAAGTGTCAAGAAACTACCACCAACTGATCGTAGATTTGAAGGCTACTCTGAAGATGTAAGTAAATAATAATGCGGGTTGTAGTTGCTGTTAATGTTGTTGCTGTTGTCGTTGCTGCTGCTTGTAGTTTTTGTTTTGACCAAACGAAATTTGTTTGCCTGGTTTGTGAGATGCCGACCTGCAATAAATGTGCTGTATTCGAGAGCAACGATAATGAGCCAGGCTGGACGGCGGGCAAAAGCGTTGCGTATTGTGAATGCTGCGAGAGAGACAAAAAAATGAAAAACAGGCAAAAAGTGCAGAGTGCAATGCCATTCTCCATTTCCCGTTTCGTAGTACTGCATTCCATATATGAATAAATGCCCGTCTTAATTGTGGTCGAGCGCTATATTTCGCCATCACAAGGATATGCATTAATCCGGAAAAGACAAACAAATGTCCGTGTGTTCCCCCGTGCATTTTTATGTCCAATTAAAATTATAATAAAAATGGGTGAGTGTAGCGGCTTGGGGTCACCCTTGCTGTCAACTAGACCCTCGGTTACGCCGCTTGGGGAGAAAGGCTTAAACACTGTAATCCACACTCGATTCTTTATTGCAATAATGTTGGATCACGTAAAAACTAAAACATAATACAAAGGACATAAATAACTAACTATAATCGACTATAATCGGGTTACTAAGCTAGAATCACATGCGTAAACTTGGTAACATTGTATAAGTTTGGTTCTTTAAATCATAACAAATTTGTATACGTTGAAGTATGAATCTAAAGATATTGATGGGTTTCTTCCGTAATCAGGTATAGGTGATTGTAAATGATCATGTAACACTATAT